AATATCTTTTAATTTAATAATTAATTTTTTTTAATATTAAGTGTTTTTATGCAAATTTATATTATGCTTAAAAACACTAAATATGTCATTTTAATAAAACTATGAAAGAAAGATAAAAGTATTTTTAGAAATATAATATTAAATAAAATTAATTCCAAATATAATAACTTATTTGAGAAAGAGACTCAGGATTATTTTAGCTTTTTTTACAATTATTTATTAAAATTACACAGTTTTGAATCTTAAGACTAACTTTGTTAGGAAGTAAGACTGATGGTTAATATTCTATATATATGAATATTACAAATGTTAGTACAACCATCTATTAATCATAAGTGCCATATAGATCACGCCAATGACAGCATACGTCACAACGGTTCAACAAGCAATGTCTCTGGGGAAGGGGCTCGGACTGCCGTCTCTGGAAAAGGAACTCGGACTGCTGTCTCTGGGAAAGGAGCTCGGACGTCATCATATGATCAAATCTGATATTATCATTTTGAACTCCTCCGATGATATCAACGTGGGCCCAGGTACGGGAGCTTAGAAAAGTAATAATACCATTCAACTTATCATCAGCAAATCATGAGGACTGGAGGGAGAATAAAATTAGTCGCATAAATTAAGATTCCTACAAAACATGATTGGTTGATTTTCAAATCATATAATGTGTGACTATATTTACTGTTTTTTAAAACAGCTTTATATTGACGCATGCATTGTGATTTAAGAAAGATGTTAAACTGTGGAGATTAATTAATTCCTATGAGGAGCAAAGGAGATGTTTTCTCTTTTGTTTTTCTTTCCCTTTCATGTGGTATTTGTAAGTGGATTAATGGATTGAGGTTGCTTTTGCATCTTGATTTTTTTTTTTTTGAACAATTTCACAAAGAGTTGGATTCGAATCGTTACCCTAAGGGTGGATAACTGAATCCGAAAGCTGAAGCGTGCTTTTGCATCTTGATTAACAATTTTTTTGTAGTAGTAGTAGTAGTAATATTAAACTCTTTTGATTGTTACCATTTCTCACAG